CATGCCCCCTCCTCCCTCCTTGTAAAAAGGTTTCAAGAGCAGATATTGAAAAATAGTTGTGAAGTACTAACTTACATATTAGTTATGAATAATCAAGTTTTTGTATATAAGGTAATTACTTTCTTTCTTAAGGTACTTCTATCCTTTAATTACTAAGGAATTAATCTGAGTTTTTTCAGTTTTTATTGTTGATCTTGAAACATTTGTATTAATGTTGAGTGTGAAACATTTGTATTAATGTTGAGTGTGAAACATTTGTATTAATGTTGAGTGTGAAACATTTGTATTAATGTTGAGTGTGAAACATTTGTATTAATGTTGAGTGTGAAACATTTGTATTAATGTTGAGTGTGAAACATTTGTATTAATGTTGAGTGTGAAACATTTGTATTAATGTTGAGTGTGAAACATTTGTATTAATGTGTGAAACATTTGTATTAATGTTGAGTGTGAAACATTTGTATTAATGTTGAGTGTGAAACATTTGTATTAATGTTGAGTGTGAAACATTTGTATTAATGTTGAGTGTGAAACATTGTATTAATGTTGAGTGTGAAACATTTGTATTAATGTTGAGTGTGAAACATTTGTATTAATGTTGAGTGTGAAACATTTGTATTAATGTTGAGTGTGAAACATTTGTATTAATGTTGAGTGTGAAACATTTGTATTAATGTTGAGTGTGAAACATTTGTATTAATGTTGAGTGTGAAACATTTGTATTAATGTTGAGTGTGAAACATTTGTATTAATGTTGAGTGTGAAACATTTGTATTAATGTTGAGTGTGAAACATTTGTATTAATGTTGAGTGTGAAACATTTGTATTAATGTTGAGTGTAAAAGATTTTTTTTAGGTACATATTACAATTATGATGGAAGTGAAAATGATTACCATAATTGTATCATGGCAGGACAATGTGCTGGACAATGGTACTTACATGCTTGTGATCTTGGACAAACAGAGGATGATCTGGTAAAATTTGAACAATTTTTTCATTTAAGTATTTTTTATAGGTTTTTCCTGTTTTTTTGTAATGAATTAAATTGTTATATGTTGTTATATTGTGTTTTATTAGAAATGATAAAAAATCTAATCCAAATGCATTTTATATGAAAAATAAAACTCCAAAATATAACTGATTTAATAGAAATAATTGGTATTATGTGAAAAAATAGAGTTCCAAAATGTAATGCATGTAATAAAAATAATAGATGCAATACAAATAAAAAAATATTGAATAATTAATTAGTTTTTTTTTTCTTAAAACTAAAATATTTTATTAAAAAGAAAATATCTAAATTTCATGCCTTTAGTACCTTTAAAAAAAATATTTATAATTGTGTTATTTTTAGGTGGGACAAAAGAGACAGAATATGGTTGGGTGCAAACCTGATAGGGATGAAAAAATTTATATGGGGAATGAAATAGGAATTAAGTTTTAAACAGTCATAAATATATACATACATACATACATACATACATACATACATACATACATACATACATACATACATACATACATACATACATACAAAAACAGCATACAAAGCTTTCATAAAATATAAATCATGTATCACATGAAATTACGAATCATAAAAAAACACGTAACTACGTTACACGTAGTATACAAACACAAGCTGGTTGCATAACAATTAGCATACAAGAGGTCACATTTAACTTATATTTATATATTTAGGTATTTCGTCCTGAGCAAGTTCATAGTACACTGAAAGTCATCTTTCAAAACAACGTAATGCGTTTCGAGGATGGTTTTATGGGTGCTGTAAACGGAATGCGCGCTGACGGAACGGTATCAGTTTTTAAGAATACCTGATGTTATATTAGATATAAGATATAATATTATTAGAAATGTGTATCTAAAATAAATTTTGAATAAGTTGACTTTTATGGTTTTTAGGTTGACAAAAACAGTCTCCAAGCAGAGGAAGTTTGGACGGGGGTAACATATGCTTTAGCTGCAACAATGATTCAGCACGTATGTTTTAATTTTCTGTAATATAGTATATTTTACTATATTTGTTTGTTTTGTTTTATTTTAAATGTAACTTTTCGTATTGTTCAAGGGTATGGTGCGAGAAGGTTTTCGTACCGCTGAAGGAATATACAGAACAGTATATGAAAAGTGGGGACTGGGTTTTCAAACCCCTGAAGCTATTACTGCTAACAAAACATTTCGAAGCCGTGGCTACATGAGGCCACTAAGCATCTGGAGTATCTATCATGCATATAGCAAAAGAGTAAACTCTCATAAGGGTGAATCGTAAAAAAAAACTATGAAATTAGTGAACCATTTATTTTTTATTTGCTAGATTATTATATAAATTAGGCTATTTAATTTGTAATTGGATTTTAATGTATTTTATGTATATTGAAATTGTAGTAAATTATATTTATTGATTCTATTAATTTATTCCAAAATTAAAGTAATATAATTTATCGGTTGTTTATATATATATATAAATATATATATATAAATATATATATATATATATATATATATATATATATATATATATATATATATATATATATATTTATATATATATATATATATATATATTATATATATATATATATATATATATATATATATATATATATATATATATATATATATATATATATATATATATATATATATACGTATTAGTGCTTGCATATATCTTCGTGAGAGTGCTCGATGAATTAAAGTAAATTAAAATGATTTAAATTAAAACAGAGCTGTATTTACATATATTTTTTATAAATAAAACTACATATTTTTCACAACTATAAGTTTCATGCTAAATGCAATCATAATTGCATTTAGCATAAAACTTATAGTTGTGAAAAATATGTAGTTTTATTTATAAAAAATATATGTGTGTGTATATATATATATATATATATATATATATATATATATATATATATATATATATATATATATATATATATATATATATATATATATATATATATATATATATATATATATATATATATATATATATTCATATATAGGGTAGAGTGGGGCATAACGGGACAGTTATGCCTGATGCCTTATATCTTAGCCGAAAATAACTTTTTTTCAAAATTTTTTTTGATAAATCATTTTAAATTATTTTGCTTTGTTATTGTAAAAAAAAATTGATTTTAGAAATACCAAAATGCATTAAAAGTACCAAAATGCATCAGTAAGTTTGCGAAAAACAAATTTGCGTATTTTCTTAAGTGATACACAGTGGTCATTTTTGGGGTCAAAATCTGCAGAAAATCCCAAAAGTGTCATGAAAAGATTTTTTAAATTTATGGTATTCATCAAAAAATAGGATAGTTGGAGAGCCATAATATGAGGTTTAAGAGAAATTGAAGTAAAAATAGGTTGGCTATGAGTAGAACAACAGGAGGAAAAAAGTAGTGAAAAATTTACTGAAAAATGACTATTTTTAAAGTGGGTCTTAGAAAATAATGGCTGAAAATTTTCAAATTTTTGTTTAATAGTTTTAGTAATACATATAAAAAAATATTAGAAAAGTAAAAAAAAAAAATTTAAAAACTATATTGCTATGTATAGTAATGATTTTTTCAAACATCAGAAAAAAAGTGTACTACATGTCAAAAACAGTGCTGCAACTTTTTCCCAACAAATCCCAACAAATTGGGACCAAATCAGGTGAAAAGAGGAAATAAAGACCTTTAAAATGACACATGAAGTTGTTGCGGGGAGTTGCGGGAGCTTATTTTATTGACTTTTAAAGTTCGCGCAAGCATGTGTGCGCGTGCGATCGTAATTGTCGGCGAGCGTAAAAATTCGAAATTGTTTATCGTGCGCCAAATTTTTGGAAGTTCTGTAACTCGGCCATTTTTTAATGGATTTTTATGATTGATACCTCAAAATTTATGTCTTTGAAAGACCTTTCATGCTGGTGTCATTAAACTTGAAGAAAAAGGCCACAAAATTCCTGAACAATGGTAAGATTTGATTTTTTTCTCCTAAGAGAAACTAAATCCCTGTGACACTAATGAGGCTTCTTTCAATGTTTTATATTGATGTTTCTTAATCTTATTACAATTTATGTTTTAGAAAATTACATATCTTGACTTGTGTCATGAGATGAAGAATAATTCAACCAAAGAGCATGGATTTGCTGACATCCCTTATCAAACAGAAATTGTGAAGAGATTCATCTTGAAGCAGCTCAACTTTATAGAAGGAGATCTGGATTCTGAGGTTCAAGCAGAGATTGAAAGTGATGTGAACTCATTTTTGGCTGGTGTTACCAGGCTATATAGAATAAAACACCACAGAAACTACAGAAGATTTGTTGAAAATGAAGCAACCTTTTTGAAAAAGCTCTTCAACATTCCAGAAACACTTCTGAGGACACCATCAAAGACTGCAGCATCTAGGTATATTTAAAGGGTTGTCAAAGAAATAGCAGTTTTTTGTCAGTAACTTAATGCACAAAAGTTAAGACTAATTCAATTTCTACAGAAACTTAGTATATATCATAATGTTTATTTAATAGAAATTTGTCTGTTTACTTCATATTAGACTACTTGAATATAAAGAGCTAATGTTTTTATAGCTCCCTTGAGTTCAACTCCCTCAAAAAACGTGGTCGTCCTCCAATCCCATTTGAGGAGAAGTCAACGCGGTCAAAATTGGTAGTAAGCGCAGAGATCAGAAACACCTATGATGATGGAGCAATCATGCTTGCTGCATCTCAACAAAAGTCAACTCTTGGGAAGCTCATTCGCAGAGCTAACAGTCAAAATGGAACAACTGCTCAAAAAGCCCTCAATGCCATAACTGAGGGCAAGAAGGAGAGTGTTCCTAAAATGCCTGCCTTTGTTGCTCTTTCCTTTGTACTCACAAAGCATGTTTCAAAAGACATGTATGTTGAAATGAAAAAGCTCAGTACGGAGTGGCAAGGCAACATATGGCCAAACTACAACAAGGTAATTGTGATGAAAGTTAACTATTGTTTAATTCAGTTAAACAAAGCCTTAAATAAAGACCATTTTACACATCACATGTTTATGCATTAATGGAAGAGTTTTCTCAACTATTTTGTTCTGTATGCATACATAAATATAGGGCACTACACAGAGTAAATGTTTCCAAATGTTTAAAAAATTAGACTAACAGTTCAAGTTTTAACCAATTTAAAGAAAATCACTAGGCTTATTTCTGTAGAAAATAATTTTGAATATTTTTTTAGGTCTTGGCTGCCAAGTTTGATTGTAGACCAGTTGGATGTGATCTTTCATCAACCAGTGGACAGATACCTCTTCAAAATCTGCTCGAGCACACAGCCAAAAGGATCTTTCTAGAAGATGCTGAACAAATTACAATAATTCAAGCGTTGGCTCAAAAAAAGCAGACACCCATCCGGCTCAGGTTTTACTTCAAATTTGGCTTTGATGGAGTTGGATCTTTTCCCACCTTCATGCAAAAAGTAGATAGTGAAGTCCCAGATGGATCAACATATCTTGTCAGCCAGATGGTCCCATTACAAGCAGAAGTTGAAGATGATGACACCATTGTACAAAAACCCTCACCCAAACTCTGCTTCTTCATGTCGGCCAATTCGAATTGCAATTGAGAGAGAGAACAAGTTCTCAATCCAGAGAGAAGCTTCAAGGTTGATGAAAGAAGTTGAAGAACTGACAGAATTCTCACTTCTATCTGATCCTCAAGTAATTGTGACTTTCAAGGGTTTGTTGACCATGGTTCATGGCAAAGTTTTGAATGAACTTACATCAAATCCTGCATCTTCTAATTGCCCCATCTGCCATGCCAAACCAAAGGAGATGAATAATCCCAAGGGTGTCTTTACACCTAAACCTGGCACATTGAATTTTGGCCTAAGCATCTTGCACTTTGGCTTGCGGAGTTTTGATACAATTTGCAACATTGGATATCGCCAAGATGTCAAAAAGTTCCATCTTCATATGAGCCCTGATGAAAAAAGACTGGTTGCAAATCGGGAGACACGAGTCAAGCAAGAATTTCGGGAGCAGCTGGGTATAATTGTTGACCAGAGGCGGGATGGAGGTGCTGGCACTACAACAACAGGAAATGTTGCTCGCAAAGCTTTTCAAAACCCAGGTAGCTACACTTGCAAGTTTTGGTACTTTCACCAAACTTTTTGGGAAGCATTCAGAAATAATTTAGTTTTTAGATATTATGTCTTGTCAAGTTGCATGAGCATCACATCATAGCTTTGCTGTCAATTTGGAGAAATTCAAATCTTGATATCTGTATATTCCTACATATTTTCTTTCTTTTTTAGAAATTGTTGCAAGAATCTGTGATGTCCCTGTCAAACTGGTTGAAAATCTTGGAACACTCTGGTCTGCCCTTGCATCTGGATATGCCATTGATCCAGACAAGTTTGGAGTTCTGTGTGAAGAGACTGAGAAGATTTATTTTGACCATGTAAAATGGTACTGGTTGTCCCCAATAATTCACAAGGTTCTGAAACATGGAAAACAAATCATTGAAGCTTGTGTTCTTCCAATTGGAATGACCAATGAGGAACCAGGAGAGGCTAACAACAAATTTCTTCAAAAAATCCGTCTTTATCATGCTCGAAAATCATCCTGGCTCAATGGCATATCTGACCTTTTCTTGAGACTGATGGACATCAGTGATCCAAAGATACAGGTAATTTTGGAATTAAGCATATCCAAAATTTTTCCAATTTCAATAATTTTTCATGCTTATTTAATTTAAATGATTTCTGAAACAGGACCTTTTTTCATTTGAATTTCCCAAGTTAGCTTTGATAGCAATATTTTCTTTCATCCATTAAATGTTATATATAATTTTTAGGCTTATGTCCACTGCAAGAAAAAGAAGCACAACTCAGAGATCTTGCCTGAACCCATCAAGAAACTCTTGAAGATGCCGGAACTTCAAATTTCTAGAGATGCCTCTGATTCAGAAGAAGAATAAAGAAGTCAAACAAAGCAACCAAAGCCTCTCATAAAAATTAAAAAAATTCTCATACATTCCCAATTTTGTTATTTATCTAATGTTATTAGTTTCAACCAGATCAAACAAAATTGATATGCTTAACTCTATGTAAAAAAATAATTTCGTTGATGTAAGCACTTATGTTGTGCCTAATATAACCAACTAGAACCTCATTTGTGTTAATTTTTTTTAGCAATACATTTAAAAACTGTCATACATGATGGGCAGGTTGGTAATCTCCCTGTGGGTATTCCTCATGCTTAAGTAATAATGTTTTCTGCCATTATCATGTTTGATATGATATTTGTGAGAAATTTCTTCTATTTAATAAATCCATTTTGATCTTTAAGGTAATGAGACACATAATTCATTTTTGCAACCTAGCATTAATTGCAAAGTGTCAAATCTAACTTAAAAAAGTGAATATTTTATTTTTTAAAGCAATTTTTTGGGTTATTTATAATTTTTACTTCAAATATGTTCATACCGGCTCTTTTTGAACACATAAAAAATGTTTTAGATTTTCTGCAGGTTTTGACCCCCAAAATGACCACTGTGTGTTCTAAAGAATTGTTTGATTCTAATTCTAATCTCCATCTCCCAGGCTTTAATTCGTTTTTTTTTTAGAACGTAAAGTTAATAAGTAAGGAGGAGTAGTATTTTTTTAGATAAAAGAAAATATTCTTTATAACGTTAGACGCGATATGAGTGCTTCTGATGAAGATCAAGAGATTTTAACAATTGAAATTATAAACAAAAAATCTAAAAACTTTCTACTAAGCTGTTGTTATCGGCCTTCTACTGGAAGAACTGAACTCTTAAGCAATTTTTTAAAACACGATTTGATAGAAAAAATTAATCAAGAGAGAAAAAAATATTAAATTTGGGGGCTTAAATTTGGACTGTTTTGAATATAATAAAAACCAAAACATAAAAAAATTTTACAACGACTTATTTGAAACGGGAACAATACCTATAATAAATAGACCTACAAAAATAACAAATCATTCATCTTCCTTAATAGATAACATTTTAAGTAATGATTTTTTTAACTCGCTGCTTAAAAAAGGTATTGTCAAAACTGACGTCTCAGACCACTCCCCTATCTTTTTCCGTATAAATGCAAACTATAAATTAAATCTCCTGAGTAAAACAACTGTAAAAAAGCGTGTATACAGTAACAATAATTTAAAATCTTTTAAGGAACAAATTTCGAATCAAAACTGGAGCAATATTAACTCCAATGATGATATAAACCTGATCTACGATTCTTTTTTTTAAACATATAAATCCATTTATGACGCAAACTTTCCTATTCGTGAAATAATCCTTAACGCCAAGGACGTATCATGTCCTTGGATAACTAAAGGACTTAAAAAATCATCGAAAGTGAAACAAAAACTGTATATCAAATATCTAAAATATAAATCAGTCAATCATAAAAATAACTGAAATAATTTATAAAAATTATTTCAAAAAACTCCGCAAAAATGCAAAAAGAAACTACTACTCCGACTTGTTTGCAAAGCATAAACATAATTCAAAGCGTATTTGGCAACTAATGAAAGAGATCACGGGAAAAAATAAAAAAAGTTCAATATTACCTTATGCAATAAAAATTAAAAACAAATAATGACCCTAATAAAATTGCTTTTGAATTTAATAAATTTGTTTCTTCAATTGGAACAAGCTTATCAAATAAAACTCCTTATAGATATACTCTTTAAAATTTGTAAAGCTTCTATTGCTCAAGGATTCTTTCCAGACTCTCTAAAAGTAGCAAAAACTACTCCTATTTATAAATCAGGTGATCATTGTAACATTACAAATTATCGTCCTATTTCAGTTCTTTCGGTTTTCTCTAAAATACTAGAAAAAATAATGTATAACAGAGTCTACAATTATTTTGTTGATAAAACAAAATAATTTAATAACTAAACTTTTATATAATAATCAATTCGGCTTCCAGAGAAACTATTCTACTGAACACGCCATACTTCAACTAACACGCAGCATTTCTAAATCTTTTAAAAATTCTCATTATACCCTAGGTGTATTCATCGATTTGTCTAAAGCTTGTGATACTGTCGATCACGACATTCTATTAAAAAAATTAGAACTCTATGGAATTAAAGATAAATCCCTAAACTGGTTCAAAAGCTATCTTAGTAATCGTAAGCAGTTTGTTAAGTAATCGTAAGCAGTTTGTTAATATCCAAGACTCTTCTTTGCCTTTATTAATAAATGTAACATGTGGTGTCCCACAAGGATCCATAGTTGGGTCCCTATTATTTTTAATATACATAAATGACCTCAACAAAGCCTCTAACTTTACCACTATAATTTTTGCTGATGACACAAACCTATTCCAATCTCATGAAAACATAAATACACTTTTTGATATTATGACACAAGAATTAAATAAAATTTCATATTGGTTTAAGAAAAACAAATTGTCCCTCAATATTGATAAAACAAAATGGACACTTTTTACCCAACATCCAGAAAAAAATGTTTACCAAATACACTGCCCAACCTCTTCATTGACAATACAATACTAAAAAGGGAAAAAGTTACAAAACTTCTCGGAGTTCTTGTAGACGAAATCTTATCCTGGAAACAACAAATCGATAATATCTCCATGAAAGTTGCTAAAAGTATTGGAATTATATATAAAGTTCGACATATTTTAAATAAAAAACAATTAAAACAACTATATTATTCGTTTATCCACTCCCATTTAAATTATGCAAATATTGTATGGGGAAGCGCGCACAAAACTAAACTTAAATCTTTTTATCAGCATTAGAAACATGCAGCTCGCTTAATTAATTTTGAAAATCGTTTTTCAAACTCAAAACCACTTCTGAGAGAAATGAAAGCCTTAAATGTATACGAACTAAAAGTTTATAATAATTTATGTTTCATGTTTAAATGTAAAAATCATTTATCTCCTGATGTATTTATAAACCTTTATAATGTAAAAGCCATAAACAAATACAGTCTTCGCAATGGAAAAAATCTTCAACAACTTTTCTGCCAAACTAAATTTGAACAACTAATCATTTCTTATCGTGGTCCTTATTTATGGAATAAAATATTTTTGCCAAATTTTGATTTGTCATTGAAATGGACTTTAACTTTTTTCAAACGAAAATTAAAAGAAGTTATCTTTTTAGCAGAAAATATTTTTTCTTGTTTTTAGTTTTTTTTGCTTCACATCTTTCATATAATTTATCCAGTATATTTATATTTTAAATGCACAGTTATATGAGTGGGTAAGAAGCCAAGGGGTACAAGTGACGATTTTACCAAAATTAAGTTAAGTATAGAATTTGATAGAAGAAGCAAACAAAATTGTTGGTGGCTAAGGGATACAAGTGAATCTCTGCCCTGTGCTGCTTTCTACTGGAAAAACATAACAACAGCTGAGTATATTTGACAAAAATACTTAAACTTTAAACAGCTGTATCTCAAAACTATGAAAATGTCACTTGTACCCATTGGCTTCTGACCCACTCATATACAGTTTATGTTGATTTTTATTGCTTAATTTGATTTTATTGTTATTATTATTATATTTGATATTGTAAAGGGCTTCATGATAAGATCGTATGATTTTCTGGAAGTCCTGCCGATTATATTTGTAATAAAGCTATTCTGTAATTTTAACTTTTTTTATTAAAGGCAAATAAATTTACAATTACTGAAAAATTACTAATATATATATATATATATATACAAAAAAAGTTAAAAAGTAATAAATTAGTTATTCTTTACTAAATTGTAATACTAATTAAATTATATACATTTATTCTTTGAATTCATTACATTATACAAATACAATATATCTTGAACTATTTTAACTTTTTTTAAATATATGACGGTGATAACGTAACAACCAAAACCTGGGGGCCATTGACGGTGATAACGTAACAACCAAAACCACGTGCCATTTTTTAATAAAATCTACTGACGTCAGTTGTTTGAAAAGTTTTTTTCTGTATTATATTATAGCTTTTTAATGTTATCTTTTTAACGGTTTTGTTTTTACTATAACGATTTTGTGACTATTTTGTTTATTATACCTGATGACGCTGATCACAATAGATCAGCGAAATATCGAAATAATTATATACTAAAGAAAAAAAATATATATATATTTAAAAAAAGTTTATACCCAGCCATATTTATTGAATTCTAACCATATTTTATCGTATAACAAGAAAATGACATTCAAAGATTATATTACTACTTTTTACTGCAAAAAGATTTACGATACCAAAAAGTTACAAGATTTGAAGATACGAAATGCGAACTCAAAAAATCAACTCGTTTTTCTTCAAAAGTGCTTATCCAATAACATAACTCCAAAATCATTTAAAATAAAAACTGAAAAAAAAAGATTAAAAGATAATTTAACTAAGAACACTAGACGACTGATCTTACAAATCCTACAAGAATCCTATAGGATGAGATGCACAAGTCACTGCAGGACCTACAAGAATCTTTTGAAGGATCTTGTAGGATTTGAAGGAATTCTTATAAGATAATATAAGATCTACAAGAATATTTTAAAAGATCTTGCAAGATTAACAGGATTCCTATAGGATGCTGAAGGAAAATTTTAGATTCGTATATATACGGCCGTAGCCCTCCCCCTTAATCAAGCACTGGTTCCTATAGGAAACAGTGATAGATTAAAGAGGAGGGGGTTAGGGCCCAAAAGTTTCGGGATTCCGAAACTATTAAGCGGACCTTTTTCTTTTTCTACTGTTTTAGTCATTTTTATGCTGTGGCACGTTAAAAAGGGCTCCGGGCCCTGAAATGTCTTAATACGCCAATGATAGGAACATAACATTTATTATTTTATAATTAATATCATAAATCTAATAGCCAAACTAAGAACATACGAATTTAGGTTTTTATTTTGATTGGAAGGAAAGTATGTCTATTCTTCTTTTTAATTACTGATAATAGGTAAGTTAAAGTTTGAAATAACATTTTTCTATTAGAAAAAAATCATTCTGTATAAAAGAAATTTTTCACATATTATCATTATTACAGAATCACAATTGCATTGCTGATTACTTTCGTTTTTTCTTGCAAGTTGCTCTTTGAGATTTCATATTTGCATCAGGAACTGTGATTTTGAGATTTCATATTGCATCAGGAACTGTGGTTCTATAATAAGAAATAAAGAGATATATAAAAAAAATAATAGAAATCAGGTAATTAATCATTAATTAAAAATTTAAAACCCATCCCGCCCCTTAACCCATCGCAGACACAAAGGAGGGGGGGGGGGATTATTACCACCTGACAAAATTTTTAAATTATTTAAAGAGTATGACTAAGTAAAAAGTAAAAACACTTGAAATTTTAGCTAATTGCTCCAAATATTTAGGCGAACTTAAGAAAAAAAAAAATCATTTGAAATGCCTAATCTGAGCATATTAGTCAAATCCATGAATCGATTCGGTCAAACGAATGACTGGTCAAAAAGTCAAAAACTTAAATTTTGAATTCTGGCTTTTCTTTGTTATCCTAAAGTTCCATATTTTCCAAGAAGCTTTTTTTTAAACTAACATATTTATAATTATTTCAATAAATGAAGTATGAGAAGTTGTTAGTCCAAGATCCTACTTTTTTGGATCTGGGTCATGATCCAACAAGTTAAACTAATTGATCCCAAATTTTCAAAATAGATTAAGAAAAATAGAAAATTTAATAAAAACCCAAGCACTGAAAGTATGATTTTCTAAATAACCCCCTCCCACCCTGTGCCAACAACTTATAAAAAATAGGTAAGCCTTAAAGCTGCTGCCCAATAACATTACCTACATAAAAATGCCCTAATTAAAAAACCTATCTACCAGCCTCTCCATAAGTTGTATTCAGGCTTTTTCTAAAACATTTTAAATTTAATAGTATCGTGTTAAAAATACAACAAACTTTCATACTTTAAAAAAAAAATATATATATATATATATATATATATATATATATATATATATATATATATATATATATATAAATATATATATATATATATATATATAAAATGTGTAAAATAAATATATAACAATTTTTATTATTATTTTTTATTAATTAATTAGAGTATAATTTAAATACAATAATAATTATTAATACAACAAAGTTTATGCATATTTATGTTACCAAGTTTATAAAATTTTCATAAAATCCTTAATATAAAATAATATTGATATAGCAACTATTTATATATTTCTTTAACAAAAATTAAAAAGATATTAGATTCTCAAACAGCATGTTCATTATAATGAACATGCTGTTTGAGAATCTAATATCTTAATTTTGTATCTAATATCTTAATTTTTGTGATTTGTGACGTGATCTAAATGCGCTAGTGACGTGATTTAAATGCGCGTTATGAATTGCGGGCAATTCATAATGCCTAATGATTTAAATCACGTCACTCTACGACTCCATTTACTCAGAAAGTCACGCAATTCAATGTACACTCTGATTGCGTGAAAAAATTTTAATTCAACTAGATTTTTTTGGTAATAATTTAATTTTAACGTAAGGGACAAATTGTCCCGAGCGGCAGATTTCCAAGGGGCACCAAATAGAATGAAGGTACCTTGGAATAAAGATCATTTACCGATAATATAGGAGAATTTCGATAATTAAGAAGGCCAATCATGTTGCTGTCCCGGGCGACGAAACAGTTCTTGGCGGCATTTTATATATATATATATATATATATATATATATATATATATATATATATATATATATATATATATATAGCTATTTGTTATTATTTAATTTTTTTACAACACTTTTATATATATACATTCAATAAAAATAGTTTATAATTATTTTGTAATTATAATATATTTTTATTTATTTCCATACTTATAATGTTGTGTAGCGCAGGTGGTAAGGCACTAATGGTCTAGTGATCCGGGTTTCGAAACCCACCAGCGCTAAGTTTTTCATTTTTCAAAATAAATTTAAAAAATTGAAAATCTTACGAATCCTTTATGATACCCTACAGGATAATCACAGGATTTCTTATAATCTTATAGGATTTGCAAGACAAATAAAATCCTACGAATCTTTTAAGATACCCTATGGGTAATCACAAGATTTCTTATGGTCCTATAGGATTTGAAAGACAAATAAAATTTTACAAATCCTGTAAGATATCCTGTAGGATAGTATAAGATTATATACGATCCTATAAGACTCATAAGTTGTCTGTAAGATAGTCGACTAGTCACTAGACGACTGATCTTACAAATCCTACAAGAATCCTATAGGATGAGATGCACAAGTCCCTGCAGGACTTACAAGAATCTTTTGAAGGATCTTGTAGGATTTGAAGGAATTCTTATAAGATAATATAAGATCTACAAAAACATTTTAAAAGATCTTGCAGGATTAACAAAATTCTTATAGGATGCTGAAGGAAAATTTTAGATTCGTATATATACCTAGCCCTCCCCCTTAATCCAGAACTGGTCCCTATAGGAACCAGTGATAGATTAAAAAGGAGGGGGCTAGGGCCCTAAAAATTCGGGATTCCGAAATTATTAAGCGGACCTTTTTCTTTTTCTACTGTTTTAGTCATTTTTATGCTGTGGCACGTTAAAAAGGACTCCGGGCCCTGAAAAGTCTTAATACGCACTTGATAGGAACCATAACATTATTTTATAATTAATATCAAAAATCTAATAACCAAACTAAGAACATACAAAGTTAGGTGTTTATTTTGATTGGAAGGAAAGTATGTCTATTCTTCTTTTTATTTACTGATAATAGGTAAGTTAAAGTTTGAAATAACATTTTCTTATTAAAAAAAAATCATTCTGTATAAAAGAAATTTTTCACATATTATCATTATTACAGAATCACAATTGCATTGCTGATTACTTTTGTTTTTTCTTCCTATCTAGGCCGCTCTGATTAGGACTTCGTCTGACGCACGCCCACGAGTAACTGGCAAAAACTGTTGCGAGATTTCGTATTATTGCATCAGGAACTGTGGTTCTATAATAAGAAATAAATATATATAAAAAAAATCATAGAAATCAGGCAATTAATCATTAATTAAAAATTTTAAAACCCGTCCCGCCCCTTAACCCATCGCAGACACAAGGGAGGGGGGATTATTACCCCCTGACAAAATATTTAAATTATTTAAAGAGTATGACTAAGTAAAAAGTAAAAACACTCGAAATTTTAGCTACTTGCTCCAAATATTTAGGCAAATTTAAGTAAAAAAAAATTCATTTGAAATGCCTAATCTGAGCATATCAGTCAAATCCATGGATCGATTCGGTCAAACGAATGACTGGTCAAAAACTTAAATTTTGAATTCTGGCTTTTCATTGTAATCCTGAAGTTTCATATTTTCCAAGAAGCTTTTTTTTAAACTTACATATTTATAATTATTTCAATAAATGAAGTATGAGAAGTTGTTAGTCCAAGATCCTACTTTTTTGGATCTGGATAATGATCCAACAAGTTAAACTAATTGATCCCAAATTTTTAAAATGGGTTAAGAAAAATAGAAAATTTAATAAAAACCCAAGCACTGAAAGTATGATTTTCTAAATAACCCCGTCCCACCCTATGCCAACAACTTATAAAAAATAGATAAGCCTTAAAGCTGCTGCCCAATAACATTACCTACATAAAAATGCCCTAATTAAAAAACCTACCTATCAGCCTCTCCATGAGTTGTATTCAGGCTTTCTCTAAAACATTTTAAATTTAATAGTATCGTGTTAAAAATACAACAAACTTTCATACTTTAAAATATATATATATATATATATATATATATATATATATATATATATATATATATATATATATATATATATATAATATATATATATATATAACAATTTTTATTATTAATTTTTATTAATTAATTAGAGTATAGTTTAAATACAATAATAGTTATTAATACACAAAATTTATGCATATTTATGTTACCAAGTTTATAAAATTTTCATAAAATCCATAATATAAAATAATTACGATATAGCAACTATTTATATATTTCTTTAACAAAAATTAAAAAGATATTAGATTCTCAAACAGCATGTTCATTATAATAAACATGCTGTTTGAGAATCTAATATCTTAATTTTTATCTAATATCTTAATTTTTGTGATTTGTGACGTGATTTAAATGCTCTAGTGACGTGATTTAAATGCGCATTATGAATTGCGGGAAAATAAATAGCACTTGATTGCTATTTCTTTTCCCGCAATTCATAATGCCTAATGATTTAAATCGCGTCACTCTACGACTCAATTTACTCAGAAAGTCACGCAATTCAATGTACACTCTGATTGCGTGAAAAAATTTTAATTCAACTAGATTTTTTTGGTAATAATTTAATTTTAACGTAAGGGACAGATTGTCCCGGGCGGCAGATTTCCAAGGGACACTAAATAGAATGAAGGTACTTTGGAACAAAGGTCCTTTACCGATAATATAGGAGAATTTCGATAATTAAGAACGCCAATCATGTTGCTGTCCCTGGCGGCGAAACAGTTCTTGGCGGCATTTTATATATATATATATATATATATATATATATATATATATATATATATATATATATATATATATATATATATATATATTTATTTATTTATTTTTTATTATTTAATTTTTTTACAACACTTTTATTTATATACATTCAATAAAAACAGCTTTTAATTATTTTGTAATTATAATATATTTTTATTTATTTCCATACTTATAATGTTGCGTAGCGCAGGTGGTAAGGCACTAATGGTCTAGTGATCCGGGTTTCGAAACCCACCACCGATAATTTTTCAAAATAAATTAAAAAAATGGAAAATCTTACGAAACCTTTAAGATACCCTACAGGATAATCAAGGATATCTTATGATCTTATAGGATTTGCAAGACAAATAAAATCTTACGAATCCTTTAAGATACCCTATGGGTAATCACAGGATTTCTTATGGTCCTATAGGATTTGAAAGACAAATAAAATCTTACAAATCCTGTAAGATATCCTGTAGGATAGTATAAGATTATATGCGATCCTATAAGACTCATAAGTTGTCTGTAAGATAGTCGACTAGTGGTGGTGCAACAACGTCTTTCCATAAACAAATTAAAAAACAATTCTAACATTAAGATATACCCTTTCAATAACGGCACAGGTTTCGCATTATTAAATTAAAAAGATGCATCTCTCAAATTAGAAGAACAAATAAAAAATAGCCAAATTATTGATTATGATCCAACATCCACATTGACTACTAAATTTCAAAGACAATTGTGCAAATTAAGAAAAGAAGGTAAATTAGACACAAATACATACTTTAAAATGTATCCATCAGATTGTAACCCACCAAGGATTTACGGAATGATTAAAGCTCACAAACCAGAAAAAGATTACCCAATGCGCCCTGTTGTATCAACAATTAACACACCACCTTATGGAACATCTGATTATCTTGTTAAAATTATTCAACCGACTCTGAACAAAAATAAAAATAGACTTATGAATTCTAATAGTTTTGTAAATGAAGCTAAGCAATGGATAATAGATCCTAACGAAGTTCAAGTTTCATTTGATATAGTCAATTTATATCCATCCATACCCATTGACGAAGCAATTCCGGTTATTATTGATATTTTGAAGGCTGTCATTGATGACTTAAAAACTCGAACTAAACTTACTCTTGCAGACATACATCAATTAATTGAACTTTCATTAAGTATATGTTATTTTTTATATGAAAACAATATCCGAATAATACCTAATTCAGGTCCTATAGGTTTATCTTTAATGGTTGTTATGGCGGAAGCGTTTTTACAAAATATAGAAAGAAAAGCCCTTAACATAGCAATTATTCATACATCCGAACCAAAAACTTACAAGAGATATGTAGATGATTGTCATGCTCGCTTTGCTTCAATAAAACAACAACAAATGTTCCTGAACATCCTTAATGAACAACATCCTGCCATAAAATACAGAGTGGAACTTGAAAACGACCTCAAACAACTCAATTTCCTAGATATTAACATTACAAACACAGGCTCTGGAACCTATGAATTTCAAATACATAGAAAAGAAGCTATTACAAATGTTCAACTTAAACCTAACTCTAACATTAATCCTAACATTAATATTGGCGTTTTCAAAGGATTTTTATGTCGTGCTAAAAGAATGTGCTCTCAAAAACACCTTCAAAAAGAAATTAATTTTCTAATAGACATCTTTGTTGAAAATGGCCACGACAAGAACATTCTAAATAATATTACTATAGACTATTTAAAAAACGGTTCAAAAAACACCACATTTTAACAAATAGATACCCAACCCTTTATAAAACTACCTTGAATACCAAATGTTGGTCCAAAACTTCGTAAAGAATTTCGAAAGCAAAACATAAAGGTTATTTTCACATCAACTCCCAATTTAAAAAATATTTTCTGCAACAATAAAACTAAACTACCACTAAACACAGATCCTGGCGTATACAAGCTAAAATGTTCATGCGGTTCGATATACATTGGCGAAACTAAAAAGAAGGTGATATCGAGATGTATTGAACACCAAAAAAACAGCTTAAAAGGAAAATGGTCCAGTTCGGGTGCAACTGAGCATCCTTAAACATGCCATGGGGTAAGTTTGATTGGTTGCACCCCAAATTATTATCTGTTGTCCCAGAATATCGAACTCGGAAAATCAGAGAGTCACTCGAAATAAGCAAGTCTAGGGTTCAACAGGAGTTGAGAAATGGTGACGTGGTTCTCAATCGGGACGACGGTGATAACGTAACAACCAAAACCTGGGGGCCATTTTTTAATAAAATATGCTGACGTCAGTTGTTGGAAAAGTTTTTTTCTGTATTATATTATGGCTTTTTAATGTTATCTTTTTAACGGTTTGTTTTTACTATAACGATTTTGTAACTATTTTGTTTATTATACCTGATGAAAATGTAGTGTGTAAACTACGAAACATGCTAAGATTGAAAAATATCGTGTTTTTCATACAAATAAGCAATTAATTATTTCGGAAAAAACTTAATTAGGTTTTTTCCAAAACTGTAACGAAGTATCCCTAAAAGATATTTTTTACAAAAAAATTTTTTTTTACAAAAAAAAAGAGGGGGGGGGGGGCAAGTGCCCCCTCTTTCCCCCCCTCCTTCTTGCGGGCGCCTATATATATATATATATATATATATATATATATATATATATATATATATATATATATATATATATATATATATATATATATATATATATATATTCCTGATGAACTTACTGATTTACTAAATTAGATAAGTGTTTTTACTGATTTATTTTTGCTCTATTCTTAAAGAACAGAGCAATAATAAGTTAGTAAAAGCACTTATCTAATTAATTTTTTTTATTTGACATATTGTTATTTTAGGTTGCGAGTATGAATATGACTGTCATAATTTAAAATTCTAAAAGTTAATTCAAAGTTTTTTTAAAAATACTTGTTAAATAGCTTTAAATTTAACCAGTCAACGCATTTGGTTTTAAGTTCGCAATTATCAATACCAGCTTTGCTTACTGGCTTATAACCCTCGCAGAATAAAAACTGCATTTGGGTTATCAGGATGTGTTAATGGTTTTTGCAATTAATAAAAAAAATTCTGTTAAATTTTGAAAAAATTTTATAACTAAATTTATTGATTTTATAGTTATGAATTTATTTTTTGTAATTTTTAGACAAATCTAAACTCTAAATTTTTGTATTAGCATACTGATGTCAAAAAGTGCCTTGCAAAAATAAAATAAGAAGAGTAACTGGATACTAGTTTACTCGAAAACATTGGCGTAGTTACGGGGTTGCAAAAGAGCGCATTGCATCAGGGTTCATCGATCACAAGAGATCTTAGGTCATTGACCAAATTTTGAAAAAACTTGAATGAATAGATAATTAATTAATAAACAAAAACAAAAAAGTTTAGTATTTTGTTAAGTTATATTACAAAGTTATTCTTTAGTAAACCGTTAAGTAGTATACTCAATATTCAAAAATTATCATTAATAATCAAAATCTACGTTATTAAGTAGTATTTATGTTTATTATTATTTTCAAAATTACAAAATGCATACATTTGATTTAGTCCATAGAACGAAATGAAAAAAATTATTCCCAGTGAGGCATAAATGCGGAATACAAAAAGAAAAAATGATGAAAACATATAGTGTCCAAAAATAGATATTATATCAAAAATCTAAAAGTATTTCTCTCAAAAAATTTGTGTTTTTTGCTCTTGTAGCGTTGATATTCGGTAAAGTTGGGTAATTTCAGCGCATAAACCAATTTTGTGGTTTATAGACTTAACTTTGCTATATGTTATAGACTTTTATTTTTTGCTCTTATAGAACTAATAAATCATCCATATCTAATATATTACTGCTGAACTTAATAATATATTACTGCTGAACTTTTATAATATATTACTGCTCAACTTAATAATATATTACTGCTGAACTTAACATATATTAGCTTGCAGACAACGTGGCTGAGTGGTTAGCTTGCAGACAACGTGGCTGAGTGGTTAGCTTGCAGAGTTTTTTAGTCTTTGCAGAGCAAAAAGACTAAGAAACTCTGCAAGAAGAACACTTGCTGTCTTTTCACCGAGCCCCGTTTACATATTATCCGTGTTTATAAAAATAAATTAAAGTATACACAAAACGTAATAAAAATGCAAATACTAAATTGTTTTTCATACTGATTCAAAATAAAGGTAACTTTCATGCACTCATACCAAAGAGTTATAATAGACAAGCTGGAGGGAAAATAAACCAAAAATCGTTTAAAATTGCGAAACATTCTTAATAGTTTAATTAAGATAGTGAGAATTAGAATGGCGTATGTCAACACCTCCTAAATTTGAGGTTTTTAAATTTTTATTAAATTTTCTGTGGAGAAAACCCTACAAACTTTAAAAAAAAAAACGATTGCCAGTTGTCTCAAATTGACATAGGAAGAAAATTGGGTTTGTTTGTAGATAAAGAATGCTGTTCACGAAAGTGTTCATGTTCATTTGAATTTGTCTTTTTCGGAATATATGGCGAAAGTGCAAACGATTGCGGAGGTTTGGTAGTAGAGTAGTAACATTAACCAAAAACGTTTCTCAACTTTTAAAATTTCTTTTTTCTTAGAACGCTACTTTGTAAGCAGGAGAGGCGTGAACTTCCTGTTTAAAAGCACTTACGTGGTGCTCTGTGACAAGGCCGTTAGGTCTACTTGGGGAACCTAAAAAAACAAATTAAAAAAAATTTAACAGTATGATGCTTTGTAATCATAAACATTGAACTTCAATCATTACACCATGCTGGTTCTCACCAGCTCAATTATTCCAGAAGTCAAAATGGTGCCTTTGCGTTGAAAAATATACAATCATTTTCTAAACTCTATCTAGAAATATTTGATGAATGCTATTTGTCATTGAAAATATATTAAATATGAGTTGTAGGGATATAATATCCCACTTGAAATATTCACAAGCAATTTATTTTTATAAAACTAACTGAACTCAACGAATTTTCAACTTACGCGCATGACTTTCGTGCGTGACCATACATGAACTGCATTTAAACGATTACTGCGACTCTATGATACACGGTGAAATTCTGTAACTTTCTGGAAATTTTAACTAATATATAAAATATTATTTTAAAGTATACTGCTTAAACTTATATTTTCCGAGGAATTAAAGTTTATTTATCTAAAGTAGTTTAAGTTTATTTAGTTTATTAAGTTTGTTTAAAGCTTATTTATCTTTAGTAACTAAAATTTGCATTTTTCTGTTATGTGCGTGATTCCAATTCAAACTTAGCTTATTCTTTGATAACATTACTAATGTATATCATTCTTTGTTTACAAAATATTTGTATAGATCATATAGATTAGAATTAAAAGAGAGTAAATTGGAGATTGCAAGTTTTATTATTATGAAAATAATAAACAAAATATTTACGATTTTCCGTGCGTGATTTTTTAGAAATAGCCAAGTGGATTACTCTTTTAAAAGTTGACAAGATAAGTTTTTAACAGCTGTTAAAACTATCAAGAAGTAATCGCATCAAAAATCACGATCGAAGTATAGTAATCGTTTTTTGGGTAATGTTGCAGAATAGCAGATAAACATTTTGCTATTAAAAAAAAGTGTTAAAAAAGTTTTATTAAAAGTAAAAGGTTTAAAAAATATATATATATAAACAATATTCTAAAGTTGTATAAAATATATATCTTTAAGAACAGATCTATCTGAGAAGAGATCCTTCTACATATTATCTTTATAAGTTTACTTGGCGTCCACATTTTAAAAATTCCTTTATTTTTAGCCATTTATTTGTCTTTCGCGTCAATATCCTGTTTAAACTGAAACACAATGGGCTATTTTCATAGCCAGATATGTTTAAAAAAACACATTAGCATCACAATAGTTTTCATTATTTATATTCTATAATTATAATAAAGATAAATTTTCAAATAAAATAAACACCTAAATTTTGTATTTATTCAAAGCTAAATATGGTATTTATTTTGAAAGAAAATAATAAAACAAAGTATTAAATTAATAATAGAAACAAATTATTTAATTAAGTAAAACTTAATTAAATTAACCATAAAATAATGACAATAAAAACCTATAATAAAAACGTACCGTAAACGTATTCCACCAACGTACCAACGTACCGTAAACGTACTCCACGTTTACGGTACGTTTACGATTTGGCTTATTTTGTATCTTAACGTCTATTACATAAAAACCATAAAAGTTATTTCCTCTAACACCGAACTCTGTTAAAAATGTATAGGATAGTTAAAACTATCCATCTCACATGTAAATCACTTAAAGTACTTTTTAGAGGATTTAGATGGTGGGCTAAAGTCACGTTTTGAGTTTTTTGTCTTTTTTCTTTTTTCATAAAAAAAAAATAAGTAAACCAGATAGGGGCTCAAAGAAGATGAGGATGACAGTACATTATAGAAATTATTTCATAGAGCCCTTTTAACAAAATTTCAATAAAATATCGTAATATGTAATACGTAATAAAATAATGAACTTACCTAACCTTTGAATCCTTTTTGAAAGGTATTTCACTTTAGGGCCTCGATTTGAAATGCTATATTCTGAATATTTATTTATTATCTGAGGCAGTTTATATGTGTTTAACATATTTTCTCTAAGATTATAGTTTTCATTTTTATTTAATTCAACCGTGTTATTAAAGCTTATTGGAAAGATATTATAATTCTAACGATACATAAAAGTTAAATTCTGGTAGACATTTATTTCAAACACA